GTGGGGGGGGGGGGGGATAGGCAGATCGCATAAATTCATTGATACCCCCTAAATATTTATCTTAAAGAAAGAGGTTTCCAAGTCCCATGTGTCCCTAAATGTTGGGGATATGAAGGAAAGTCTGCTAAAATATGTCAAAGAATCTGGCTGGGATGTGACATTACAAAATAAAGTATACAAGGAATTCAAAAGGTATGTTTTAGCATGTCTGACTGTCTGTCTGTCTGGTCAGTCAACAGTCCACAGGGATGGCGGAACAGTTTTTAAAGTAGGGGGGGGGGGGGGGGGGTCTGTTGCAGACCTCTCCTCCCTTTCTTGAGGTGAACTTTTTTTCTTATTCCTAGGCAAAATAAAAATGTAATTGTCATAACAAATTATTATTTTCAAATTATTTCCTTCCAATTCTAGTGACCCAAAAATGGGCCGTTCAATTATGCTTGCACTCTATTATTGTATGGAAATTTAGCTACATGAATTACACACCATTATTGGCTTAAATGAAAATCTTGCAAGAGCAACAACTTACCTTCATGCTTTGATGCTTGCTTTTTCCCTATTTGCTTTGCAAGTGAGTCTGTGAGTCTCAGAGACATCAGCTTGGAGCAAGTCTACACTCCAGCATGAATTCCTCTATTTTCTGTCTGTCTGTCTGCCTGTCTGTCTTTGCATTATTTTTCTATTAATCAACACAACGACACTGTGAATCCCATAATGCATTTCTTTCTTTTCAGGAACCCTTTACCTGATTCAAATGACACACCAGAATATGCTAAAAAGGAACCACTTGCATTCATCCGTAAGGCTCAAGTGAGTAAATGGTTGAGGCATGTTAATAGCGACAGACCACAGTTGTGTGAAAAGTGGTTCTGTGTGTCCTATGACAGATTAAACATGTTTCACTCATACATTTATTTAAAATATATATGTAAATCTACTTTTAATTTCCTCTTATTTCTTTAGGCCACTTGGGAAAAGAGGATTGTAAAAAGTATCAATAGCATGTGTACAGAGTTAAGCCTTCCTCTCGCAACCAAGGTAATAAGGGAGAGCAGTCCTTTTTTAAATGACCTATATTAGGCTGCGTTCGTAATGTATGGCAGAGGGGAGGGGAGGGGGCAAGTGAAATTGAGGGGGGATTGGGACAATTTTGGTAGGAAAAAGGGGGGATGGGCAAATTTTTATCAGAAAAATGGGGGGATCCACAATTTTTGGAAGAAGCTACAAGCCTTGCTTCGGGGGGATCATATTCTTTTGCATGACTTTAAGGGGGGTGCTAAGAATTATTCTGGACATTTCAAATTATCACCTGCCCCCCCCCCCATCCCTGCCATACATTGTGAACACAAACTTACTGTATATACACGTACAAACCCTAGGAAACTAAAACGAAATTTTACTCATTAAAATGGCCTAATCATCTATATATTCATAAAACATTTGCTTAATATCCTTTTTTATAATTCAAGCRCTCTGCAGTGGATCAGGCCAATATGTCTTCTAGATTTGAAACTCTGGGCTGTGAGTTAGATGAAAAAGGTAATAAATTATTATTTAAATTAAATAAACTATTTTTACTGTAGCTGTTATAAAAGTGACAATGTAATTTGTTTCATTCATCAGAGTTTGAGAAAATTAAACCAGTATATGCTCCAAAAGACTTTTTCGAGGTGGGAGTATAAGTTTATAGTTATTGTCATATAATAAATTGCCTATTTTTTTTAATTCATCTATTCCTTAATCTATCCATCCCTTTACCCTAGCCATTTGTCCCATCCATATATATTTCTATTCCATTCCAATCCATTAATCCYACCAATCTCATCTTATAAACCATCCCATTTATCATGACCATATATTCAATGTTATTTATTAACAGGCTCTAATTGCTGTTGAGAATCCTAATTTTGCACCTTTACGAAAAACGCAAAGGTACTAGTCATTGCAAAATCAAACATTGGAACTAGATAACTTTTTTATTAGTATTTTATTGTGTAAATATTTTAAGATGCTTCATTGGCTGAGAAGTATTTTCTGTTTGATCCTACTAAGCTTTATACCCACAATGTAAAAAACATCTTCTTTTCTTGTCATTTAGTTCTAATAAAGGATGGGGCTTGATTCAAGTTAATCTATACACCAAAAGTATCCAGGAATTGGTGAGAATTTTTTTCAACTTCAGGTTTATAAAAATCGTTTTCTTTTTAGTTTATAGTTGAACAGGGATAAAGATAACAGCCAGACATCATACAATGTCCCACCAAAATTGGAACTTGTCCAGTAAAATCGTTGCCTTGCTGGTCATTTTGACCAATAACATTGAGCAGTGCAGATTGATACGAGTTATGACAAATAGCTAAAACTAATTTGGCTTGTTATCATGACTGCCAACTAAGTAGCCTTTATTTTTAGCACTACTAAATGTTTTTAATCTGATAATTTCAGTATAGGACTCAGTATAGAACTGGTGGTTGGAATTTTTAACTGAAATTCTTTTGCCTTTTTTATTAGAGGTCAGCATACCAAGAATTAGAGCCTGGTACAAGTCAGTGTGGAGTGGATGATGCACCAAGCAGTTCTACAATAGGTTATAAGATATTCATGGCTTTCTCATAGATTTGAAGGAGATAAAACTCTGTACAAATAAACTTCATGTTTGCATCTTTCACCATTAATATTTATTAGTTTTATTTATATATCAATATATATATAGATTCATTTGAAAGTGATTGGTTCAAGCTTGGCAAAAAAGGTAAGTAATAAATACAACTAGCACATTTCTATAATCTGCAACTTACTATTCACTTGGCACATAATATCAGATTTATGTTGTATTTAATAAATGAGCTGGAGTGTTTTATCAGGTTTAAAAGCATGAGGCGTAGCCAAGTGGTTTTAGGCATGAAAAAACATGATCTGCGAGTTTCGATAGAAGTTGTACATCAATGTCATGCACAGTGAGGTTTGTAAGTCACTACGATGCACTGCAAGTGCAAAAAATGCTCCCACAAGTTGAAGACAGCATGCCAAACAGGTGACAGGGGCACTAGTAGACAAGATTTTGTGGGTTCATCAATGATAATGCAAGACCTTATGAAGCTCTTAAGTCTTCCTAAACTTGGATGCAATTTTATCTCTGATAAACCTAAGTTGTCCTCATAATTTAGTATTCCTTATGTGAAGAATACAGATGAAATCTTTATATAAAGAYCTGATCCTTATTAATAATCTTTAGATTGAAGAAGACTTCTTCAATTTAAARAATACTAATAAGGATCAGATCTTAACTTTTCTTTGTTGTTACCGRTAGTTATCCAGAACACAAGTGCTATTGCAGCTCGTCAGTATGCTAAGTACGGTTGTCCTTCAGGTCTGAGAGGGCAGATATGGCAACAAATTCTCTGCCTTAAAATTGATGATGTGGTAAGATTCTATCATATTCCTGTGCCCCATCATGCATGAGCACTCTTGATGCTATTTATGGAATCATTGGTTTGATTGTTGTTGTTGTTGTTTTTTTTTGTTTGTTTGTTTTTTTTTGTATATGCATAATAGTCTGCATGCTCCACACGTACCTGATTAATTTGGCTCATGTTATCTTGTGTTTCTTAAAGAATGTGAGCAAACAGAGTAGAGCATGCACAGTACGCATGTGCAGAAAAACAAAAGATTGCAAAATGTAATTCTAAAATTAGCATCAAGGGGTACCATTGATGGTTACAAGCATGGATACCAGAGATTCCTTCTCTTGGTTCATTTTCTCTTGATGTGGTCTGGCAATAAAATAATATGAAAATGAATGCTTTAACTCCAAGAAAGAAAAAATTCATAAAGAGTTCATTGTTTCTTACAAAGGAATTTTACTGATTCCTATTTTCTCAAACCTGTAGAGGGTTTTCTGAGGGTTTTTATTATTTTAAACCAGGATCTACTGTATTTTGAGCAGCTCAAGAATAATGTTATTCAACACAGCATGTTAGTTGACACCTTGGTAATGAAGGTAATTAAACATGAACACTTCAGTCTTGTTATTCAAAGGTTGTATCCCAAAGGTAGACAGAGTATGAAAAAAGAGGAAATGATAATCAATGTAGATAAATCTTGCTCTGAAGTATGTTTTGATGTGGCTTGGCTTTCATTTTAGGATATTAGAATGACAGCAACAAATGATGATRATTATTTTGTGTTTGAAGATCTATTGTATCAGGTAAGTACAACTTCAGTCTTTCCTGAATTATGCAATGCCATCTAAATTTTCTATAGAATGTGAAATGTGTATGTTAATTATTTTCATCACAGGCCTTGCTGGTATTTACCAGAGATACAGCAGTCTTAAACCACTTCCAGAATTCCAGTGCAACACCACCCAAATCATATATAAGAGGTACTAAAAGCAATGCATGCATCATACTTTAGTCCTTGTTGGGGTTACCTGAATAATATAATACAATCAATCAATGCATGGTCTTTAAATAATATAGTAACATACATTCATCTCATTTACATAGCATGTCAATAAAAGCAAAGCTAAAGGACAGACATAAGAACATAAATTACAGTGGGACGCGCCTAACAGTGGCCACTCAACTCATTTTTCTACCAATGCCTTTGAATCCTTTCCTGCCAAGTGTTTTCGTCAATTTAAAACACATTTTTCCAGTCCAGTGTTAGCCAGCCAAGGRACCAAAATAGGTATCATGTAGGCAAATTATTTATTTAAGTTTATGTTGCAAAGAGTACCAAATACTTTTCAAATATTTACATTCACGCTGAGTGCAAATACATGTGCAAATGCACAAATTCTTTTTTTCTGATTGGCTAACTAGCAAAAAAATAAGTAAGGCGGCCACGGTTAGGTGCRTTGCAATGTAATAAATACATGTAGAAGATTTGTATTCAGCATAGAACAAATTCAGACACTCATGTTACATATAGCTTAATTCTAAGGTATATTTTTATGACTGCTCTTCTTATGTCCTATTCATGCAAAAAGGAAAATTAGGAATGCAAGAGTTTGCTGTTGTGTACCCACCAAATGGTTAGTTAAAAAACTTTGTACATGTTTTATTTGTTTCTCTGCTGTAATAGTTTCTAAATGTTAAGCTTTGTTTATTTTATTTTCAGGGGTTATTCCATTCCATGGATTTTCTATGCATGGTAAGCCATTACTACTGATTGGCATTATCACCTAGCAGTTACTGTATGTTGGATTTGCTATGTATATACTCAGCGCCAAAGCACTTGATAAGGCTTTCATACTTCTTTTTCATTGTTTTTATAGACTGCTTTATGATAATGCCTCTTTTGATTGATATGCATTAATACTTGAACACTTTAATGCAGTAATCCATGCCAATTGATCTGCTAGCTATCATTCAATTAACTACTTACAGCTATAACATTATTCCCCTTTACAGTTTCCTGCACCATTGAAAGGCATAGCCATGTCTGTGCATCAAAGTGAGGACAGTGGTGACCTTGCAATGATAGAGACCTTTTTTTAACACCTTGTACAATTATTCATGTCTCTATTATTGCAAGGTCACTGCCCTTCTAGCTTCAATGAACAGGCAAGGTTACTTTTCAAGTTGTTGCAAGGAACTGTGGGCAGGACTATTGTAGCCTTCAGCTGTTTTTTTTTTCTCATATTCTAGCCGCACCCCTGTGTTACATGTGTTCACAAGCTCCTCAACTGTACTTTTTATTCAGAGAGGTTTACACAAGGTTTGTATGACCTTGATTTTTGTTTGATTCAAAACAGACTTTAATAATTTTAACTTTTTGTTTTGTGTTAAATTCTAGATATTTCTTCAGATTGCACACAATTTCATCTCATCCTGAGGTCAGTGAAATCAAGGTTTTTGTTGCAAGGGAGGGCTGAGAAGGGTATTGAAGGAAGGGGAGGGGTGGGGTAGGGGTGGGGGTGGGAATGAAATACTGGAAAATAGGGAAAAGGGTGGAGAGGAAGAAAGGAAAGGGAATGCATTTCATATTAGTACAAACAACAAGCTAGGAATAAAAACTCACTAAATAAAAAGTAATGTGCTTATGTGTTACAGGGAATCCTATCGTTGTGTATTCTGTTTGAGAATCTTCTCCAGACACATGAACCATCTTTGTTTTATCATCTCAAGGATGTAGGGGCTCCACCGTAAGTATCAACCTTCCCAACACATTCATTTTAATCTCAGTAAAACATGATGCGAGGATTACTCATTTTACTTATGCGATTTGCACACAGGTTAAGACTCGTATTCAACTGGATGGTCTATGCCTTTTCTGGTTATCTGGCAACAGAACAAGTAAGTTTGTTTGTCAGCACCTTTTCTCCCCCACCCCCTCCCCCGACATCATCAAAACCCTCCGTAGGAAAACATTATCCTTTGACGTTTAAAAAGTGATTTTCTTCATTCATTAAAAAGTGAAAACGATAATTGATTGTTGGTATTATCTGGATCAGGTTCTTTTACTGTGGGATAGGATACTCGCATATGATTCAATGGAACTCTTGTCAGGTATAATGTTTTGTCATTTTTTTTTTCTTTCTTAATCTTCCTTTTCTCTCTCAGGGGTTCTTCCCCCTTTCATAATAGTTGTCAAAGATGTTTTTAAACCTATTATATTCGTTCCTCTCCCAAAATAAAAGCAGACACAAGCTTGTGCTTCAAACTCTTGATTCGTGAGTCTAGTCTACTCTAACTATATACATAAGTCGTATGTGTTTGTCGTTTTTTGTTAGTTCTTGCCATGGCTATCTTGTCAYATCGTCGCTGTAATTTGATGGAAGTAACAAGTCTACAAACTGCACAGGTAACTCTTTCATTTCTACCCTAACTGCCTTCAGAAACATAAGCTTTAAGAACAGGGGTGTAACGAGGAGTATGCACCATTTTCCCGCCAAAACACACGCGTGTGCGTTTCATCTTTGGAGTTTATCCACAGGTTCAGTGCTATCCATTGCTATCCCCTTCTTTCTCAAAAAAAATTTTCATTTTAGAAAAGATTTTCCGTGTATAAAATAATTCGTTTTCTATTTGTCATAGACTGTCCTGGCAGATATTTCAACCCTTAACGTCACAGCTCTTCTGCAGTACGTGTTGTTCCTTAAGCAGTACGACACTTCTTTTCTTCACGGCGGCTCCTGAACAGTCTGGCAAATTTTACTCTTAAAACAAGCTTTGACCACAGTTGTTTGTAAAACTTTTAGGTTCCGTGTTAAACGCGGCACTCAGATGACTCCCCGCGGGAAAACGCTATCACACCGACTGTCTGCTAAAAAAAGCGCACTTAAGTCCACTGTTTTTGGYTTCTCACTTTTTCTGTTGTCCCATTCTGGCGTTATAATTATTTGTAATGTTGTGTGAACTAGCTGGAACCAAACAAAACACGTACACAGAAAATTACTTGTAACTGTACACTTTTCATACAAGAGTTTCAATAGATACTTTGCTTTTTTGAATAGAATTTCACTAGTGGTTTTTGTCAAAACAGTGTCACAAAACCTCAGAAAGCAAAAGTTATGTAGTGTTTTACTCGTTTATTTATTTATTATTGAAATAAATTTATTTTGCACAGTATTTATTCTTTTGCTGTAGTTACTGCTAAGTTTGAAGCATTATCTTGATGTTTTTGTGAAAGACGTACACAATTTTTTAATCCTTTCAATTTTCTCTTCTTTTTATCTGACTTCCAAAAACTTTTTTTTTTTTGTAAAGATTTTAAAATCGAAAAGCTCTCTTTCAAAATTCAGTCTTAACTACAACTTCCGTTCCAAGCAGCTTGCCTTTATACAAAGGGTTCGTGCTACTCCTTAAACTCCTTGAAAACTCCTTGAATTTAATTCACGTTTTCAACGGGGCACTTGAAAAACTCTTAAATAATACGATTTTAGCGAAACTCCTTGAAAACTCCTTGAATTTCTGCTTTGACCATTACTTGCATGATTCTGAAATAGATCTAGTCAGAAAGATTGGAATTTCTGAAAGTCGGCCACCGTGTAAAACCTTGGCATATTTAGCTGAACATACTCCTTGAAAATTCATTTTTGGGTCCTTGTAAACTCCTTGAATAGTCCTTGAATTTTAAGTGGTTACTTCAGCACGAACCCTGTTTACAAGTCTGTTGTCGTTTTTGTTTTATTACTTCTCAGAAATGATAAGTCCGTTAATCCCATCTATCAATTACTGACCAACCGCGTTCCAACTGTTGGCACTGTGTGTATTGTCAAGGTCTGTTTACAAACCATTGACCTCTAAGAGAAACAACAGGTCTACCAATAATGATGTTGTATTGAGCAAAACTTCTGAAAGACATCGGGTCTTTGTCAAAGAACGCTGAGCCGTATTACTGGACAGTTTGCTGAAAGTTTTTCCATAGCAACCTCCTGAAATAGTTAAAGTCACCAAACAGAATTTTATCGCTTTTCTTTTGTAATAATTTTGAAATATCAACAAGTCAACAAGATTGAATTATTGTTGAATAGAAAATTGACATTCCAAAAGGTTGCTAGGCAATTTGTTTTACCAAATTGATCGAACGTGTATCAAGCAACACACAAGACTTTGGCACAGGAACTGGTCGACATTATCAACATTTCAAACATGAGGGACCATTCAACGCCAGGTAAGTCGTAATATTTGTAATATTGATAATTCATTCACAAGTCGCGTGAATGTACATCTTTGTTGAAAGAGCTTTGGCCTATCCAGAGACTAGACATGAACTTTTTACGAATATCAGTTTGTTAATAATATACAATACCGTCCTTTTCTTATCATCTACAGGAAGTCAGCAGAGTGGCAACCGCATGATCCGTGGACATTCTGCGTACAGATCAACCTACGCTAGCAACTACCTCGGTACTCTTAGCACCCCGGTACCTAACGGCAGGTACGAAAATGTACTATACTTCAGTACTAKAATTAATTCAGACATTTAAAAAATGGTTTTGAGTAAATCATGGGGATATCTTACTACTGAATTTTCGTAGTGTATACTGCCAGTTTCTCGAAGTATCAATTGGGTCATCTTTTGTCATACATACTAAACTATTTGTCCACCTATACTGTACATGGCAAGAGCTTCTCGGTAAACCAACGGGGTATTAAGCCGTACGTTTAGATTAAAAATCTAAATGGCCTATTAGCAAACGCTTTAAAGTTTAGTCTACAAATTTTCAGAAAGTTGATCAGTTAAAGGATAGTTTTTATTCCTCATTTTCTGCAGAGTTCGAACATCGCAGTTCTACCCATCCGGCAGGCCTCCCATAGCCTCCACATATCAGGCAGATTTCATGACCTTCCCCGTCAACAAAAGAGTGTGTATTCCTTACGGATCCTCTTCAGGATACAGAAAAAACAATCCTCATCCTCACAACATGGAAGCAGCCTTTAAACATCCAAATAAAGTGAGTTACGTGGTTCTTACACAGCCTAATTGATTCTGACTTTTTTATTTTATATCGAGCGAAATGTTAGTTCCCATTTTAGATCTTAAGTCGTAAAACTAGTGAAGAAAAAATAATATTCAAGAGAATGAGACATAGGGTATGATCATGAAATGATAAAACTGATTAGGCCCATGCTAAAGCGCCTCTAGTACCTAACTATAGCTTTCTTTTTGGTATTTTTTACTTGATACTTTAATATTTGTTATAGGATTATTTTGTGTGGTCGCAATATCGTCGACTTCCTCCTTTAGGAGATAATGATGGAAGTGTAGACAGTCAAACGCTGCTGAAAAAGGTTTGCCAAGACAAAATTCGTTCCATCTACCAACAAGACTTCAAAGATCCTCCATATGCAACAGGTAATTTCTTTGAAAGCATTATGTCAACATGGCAGGCATTCCCACCGCCTTGTTCTTCTTCCATACTTTTATTTCAATGTATGATACATGAAAAGTGAAACTATAATAATTTCATTTTAACTTTGGTCTTTTTGCTTTTTTTGCAGATTTCCCAGTTACTACACCTTCAACTCGTATGAATAGTGGTGTTCCTCAAGGTTCAAGTTTGGGTCCCCCATCTAGTGGACAGTATTCGGAGTTACTCAGTTGACCATCATTTTAAAAATATACGTAATAAGCTACGACTACACTGAATTCATTATGACGAACGTTCCAGTTTATTTATTCAGGGTAATCCCTTCAGACCCAAAAGGACACTGTTATCGATGGTTAAATAAGTTAACAAAACATTAAAAGCAACCTTATAAAAACTGATAAGTTATTTGTGTGAATAAACTACAATTTTGCATTATTTTCCGCTCCTCCTTCCAGTGTAAATGTAACTATCTACTGGCTATAAATACGGTATACAAAGCTATCAGCAATCTATTCAGGTGGAAATGGCCTAATAATACTGCCTAATTATCTCCTGGGATTACAAACAATCACGTATGACTTCAATTACAATTCAATTATCACACACTTAGCGTGTGTTGACAAAGTTAAACGATCCCTACTCGAGCAATATATATACGATAATCAATTGAATAAACATGCAAGCAGACAGTACCTCGGTGTTCTTCAACTAAAGACGAGCGAACACTGCTAGCATCTGATCATAAGAYCACGAGGGTTTTTTGGAAACAAACTTGCTGTCCGGCTTTTTCTTTTGTTTTTATCCTTAGTGGCTTTAGAGAAGCGCTTACGGCTGAACTCGAATCATCCAATCACAGTTAACCTATTATCTCGGGAATTAACGAAAAAGCAAGAATATGCACGCGACTGACAATGTCCTTGGATACCGATAGCTAATAGACTAAAGAACTTCAATAAAAACTACTAATTTTTACGCCGCGGCTTTTTGACAAACTTCAAACTGGGTGAAAATTTCAAGGTAAGGTAAAGTTACATAATGAAATCCTTAATGGTACAAATCTTTGCAGTTCTTTTTAGAACTCTTATTTTAAAAGCATAAAGTTTTAAAAACTATTTGTTTGGTTGATTGTAATGTGTACCTCATGGGTCAAAGATTTGTGTCGTGTTCAATAGTTGTCCGACCGGTCGACGCTGCCTAATGTCTAATGATCGATATCAGTGTTTAAGTCTTTTCCAGCTGGCAGACTGACTTGTCCGTGTAATGCTGTAACTGACAGAAGATGTCGTTTCCTTGAGCAAAGCATTTGTTGAATTGTTTGTTGATAAGGATTATCATTACTACGACAAGATGCCTTATCAAAATAACCGTTATCTCCCACCAATCGGTAAGAAAAACTATTTGAATAGCTGTTCTTGGCCGGGAAGAGTGTCAGACAGTCATGATTAAGAGCCCGTATTTTATAACTTAAAGTTCCTCAAATACCCCGTTATTGCCATAACTAATCGGTTAATATACCTAAGTATGTTCCGGCTTTCAGTATCCTATATTCATCTAATTTCTCCCCTCAAACATCCTGTATTCCCGTAACTCACCCGCGTTTTCCATCGAAGGGGAAAGGGTGGGGGCTCCACTTCAGTGTAAAAGGTACTCGACATTCATGTTCTTAGACTCTTTATATTCTCTTGAATACCTTAATGCCTTTGCATAATATATTCTTCCATTTTCTCTAGTCAAGTTATTGTTTTTGTTTTTGTCCTCAGCAACCCCCGTCGTTTCTCGATATCAACTTGATTTTAATAAACAAGACGTTAAACCGCCAAAATCCTTTAAAAATCGAAATATAACAAATCTACGTAAGTACTGATAACATTACCTTCAGAATTATCCCCCCAACCCCCCCTCCCCCCTCGAGTAAATAAAAAACAGGACCACTTTTTTAAAAAAAACACACCACTGTCCTAGTTTCATTTGACAATACATTTGAGACTCCGCCATAGATTAATGATGATTTGATAATGGGAATATTATCTCTATTAGACGGAATGTTATGTCATATTACAGGCAAAAGTCGAAACAACGTGATTTTGTGTAAGCATGCAAATTGTCAGTGATCAGGATTTCTTATCAATGGGCAGTAACATTTTTGGCGGCTTAAAGAGTGCTCGCACTAAACCCGTGAAACAAATACTAATTTTTAATACTAAATGGTGATAATCAAACAATAGAAAACAAGGGATTCTGTATGAATTACTACTAATTAGTACTAAATATTGTGCGTGCATTATCTATGCTTTTAGCTCCAATAGCTTATTCCAACTATCGAAGAAAGATGGGTAAAAGTTTGTACAAAGATTCTTATGAAGGAACATTTGGTAATGCCGCTGATAGTGCAAAGTAAGTATAATAGCAGGTTTTAAGAGGCATTGTTGAATTATAGAGCAGATCGATTTGATAACGACGACGCGGATAATGCTAGCGGTGATGCAAGGAGCARATGCCCTTTGCGATGCGCGCACGTGTCGTTGACTTCAAACGTCCTCATCAGGATTATCATCGGAAAACCTGAAAAAATCCAGTAGAATTTGCTATCTGTAAACGATTTGCGTAAAGTAGATGTTAACTCTGTTGTTTCATTCATTTCAGACCCGATCCCTACGAGTACCCTTCCAAGGACGATATCGGCACTTCTACCTACAGAGATAACTTTAAAAAGACAAAAACGTTACAACTTCCGCTTTTGCCAACATCTCCAACCAGAAGAAATAATCCACACCCGTCGACAATGAACAACACATTTCATTTCCCAAAACGGGTTAGTAGTTAATGTACTGTTGGTCATGTTTATGGTGTTAGTTTTCGGCTCACAGGATGTTAGGGTGTGGTATACGTAGTTAAGTGATCACGTCCCTTAGAT